ACACACACACACACCAAAAGAACTGGAGACCTCAAGCAGCCAGCAGCACAACGTGGACAGGCTAAAACACACACATGTCCAAGAACCAGGAAGCCATCAGAAACCGGACAGAGTTCTAACAACCCCAACATGTTTCCTCTGCTTCTGTCTCCAGGCGTAGCTGTGACTCGGACTGCAGCGACGGAGAGGAGGACTTCTACTACTCGGAGATCAAGCTCAACACAGACTCTGTGGCCGACGGGCTCAGCAGCCTGTCCCCGGTGTCACCTTCCGTCCTCTCTCCCCCTCCTCCTCTCCCGTCTCCTCTCCCTCCCATCGGCCAGCCGCCTGACACCCAACGGCCCCAGCAGCCCACTGACACCAAGGAGCCTCAAGCTGGCGGCACCACCCCGCTCAGCCGCTCGGCGCCCAGCGCCCTCTACCTCATCCACACGGACCACGCCTACCAGGTGAGCGTGTGCACATGTACACACACTTTTCAGATTAAGGTCAATGTGCAACCCGAAGGTAAGAAATCAATGCACTGTGGATCAGTCAACACATCTACAGCTCACTCATTTAGACACAAATTGCACATATTGCCTCTCACACACGTCTGTCAGGCTCCTGATTGTCCTAATTATTTGTCACAGTGTTTACAATAAAAACCCTAATGATGTCACAGCGACTTGTGGTCCCTCGTTCGTGTTAGCAGCTGTGCTAACAGATGTGGTTAAACAACACACAGCAGCAGTTTCGAACAAGTTATCGCAGGTGGAGTGAAGACACGATCCATCAGTGAGTCTGATAATAATGTGACTGCAGGGATATGACATGAGTATTTCTTACAACGTGAGACTAATCTAAAGGCTGAACATTTACAAAACATTTACCACTGCTTAAAAGAAAATGATCAGTTCCAGGCTCTTTTGTGTTGACAAATTCATGTGATGATTTAAAGAGTAAAATTCTTTTAAAGTATTTTCATGTTCAAACGAAATAGTATAAATAAATAAAAGACATTCACACAAACTGTCAATAATAAAAATCTCTTTTTTTTCAAACTGGTTTCATATGTGGAGCTCAACGTGCTACACTTTAAAAATGAGGCGGACATCACAGTAAACCAAGTTAACAACACATGAAAAAGCAGAACGAAACTTAAAGTCTCAGCCTTGAATTGAAGCAGAAAGTAGATCCACAGATGTAGGTCCTGTTTTGCCAGAAGCAGAAAATAAATCCATCTTGACCTTTGACCTTTGCCTCCAGGCCACAGCTCCAGTGTCCATCCCGTCCAGCAACGGTAACTCAGCCGGCTCGGGCTCCACCAGCTTCACTCCCACCAACAGCTCCAGCTTCAGCATCTCCTGGCAGTCACCGCCCGTCACTTTCACCGGGAACATGGTGAGAATTCTTTAACGCACAGGATTTATTCCAACCTATAAAAAATTACATGTTTCTGTGTTGAGATTTTCACGATCATCATGATCTGTCCTACCTCCGCAGGTGTCCCCCAGTAAAAGCCAGGGGTTTGGTGAACAGCGCTCCCAGACCATCGCCATCCTCTCCTCCCCTCCCAGAGCCACCAACGCCCTCAGGTACTGGACCTTAGTAGTTTTTATTAAACACCAAGACAGAAGAAACAACAAGTCAAAGAGCTAAAGCTGCTAATATGATACGTTCCTATGATCAGATGAGAAGTCAAAATGTCCTATATCGTAAAAGAGGTCAAATGTAATATTGACAAATTAGGTCAATGACTCGAAATACAAAAATAATTCTTGATAAGGAAGAGCTAAAGTCAACAAGTCCGTGTGATGTCAACGCTGTTTAGAATTAGACATAAAAATATGTTCCCATTAAAGGAAAACATGTTTAAACATGTTTAATTGGTTTTTTACAAACACCCGTTATTCTCCGTGTCTTCTCCCCTCAGTCGGAAGGTGCGCGGCGAGGGGAAGAAGTGCCGCAAGGTGTACGGGATGGAAAACCGCGACATGTGGTGCACGGCCTGCCGCTGGAAAAAGGCCTGCCAGAGATTCACCGACTGAGCGCACCCAGCCGACGCCACGCCAACGGGCACTGCCTTTCGCCAGAGAAAAGTTGGGGGGGGTGGGGGCATCATTTTGCATGCATTTGGTTTTCTTCTGCTCCAAATCTCAACTGTCCGTCAGCGCTCCGGCTCTGTCCCTGTACTCGCCCCCCCTCCCTCTCAGCTCCACCTATCCATTCCAGCTGTGGAAGCAACAGCAGGACAGCGCAGGAGTCAAACTTTCACGTCGCCGTCCATGATTCCCAGCACTGCCTCGCCATTTCCATCGCTCCCAGTTTTGGGAAAACCCCAGTGCAGCTACAGTGTAAAGAAAAAATGTATCTAAAGATTTCTGCCGTTTTTTTTGTTGGGTTCAGTGTTGCATCTTTCTATGTTTTGTAAGAGTTCTGGTTTTTAAATGGAAAGTCTTGTCAAAGGTCCAGAATAAGAGCCAACAGCTTTTTTGGTGTGTTTTGTCGAAAGAAAAAGACAAATCTTTTTTATCCAAAAGAAGAATGCATCTCTTTGCTACAGTTTTTGAAAAACAGTGTGGAGGTAAAGCTCGCCGTTTTTTGTTCTTCCTTCAACTTGTTCATCTCTTGTTTCATTTCTGACGTGTTTTTCGGGGCAAATTTTTATCTCTGACGTCACCGGACTGTCACCTGCTCCTCGCTCCTGACAAAGCCCTGGAGCGGAATGTACAGCAGAACATCAGGGAGGCGCCTGATTGACTGGTGGAGAGAAAAGGAAGAAGAGAGACAGGGAGATTCAAGGATCAATGCAAAAAAAGATACAATTTACAGTCAGGGAAAGCAGACGGGCCGTGCCAGTGATTTACCACATGAATCCGCAGCAGAACAAACACACAAACACAAACACACAATCCTTACAAAAGACGGGAACTGTTTTTTACGTCACTTTTTTACCCGGATTGATTCGTTTTCTTTGTTTTTATCAGGGATGTGATTCTAAAGAAAGCCAAATCCAGCAGCTATAACTTGTGGATCTTCTGTAAACAGCAGCACTATCTCCACAGCTCCTCTCCTTCATCACAACTTTACAACCAAAAACTCTTCATCCCCTTTTTGAATCCTGATACGGTGCCATGTTTACTATTGTCGATTTTCTTTTTTTTTTTTTTACTGAGACTGTTTCCCTACCAACTGGCTTGTGTTAAAGGACTTTCCTGAGATCACTGGAAGCATGAAGCCGGCAGCGAAAGGAAAAGATCAGCAACTCTCACCACATGCAGAAAGACGCAGAGCCCTCCTCCTCCTCCTCCGCCCAAACTTTTACTCCTTCCCCAAAGGGAACAAAAATAACTCTTGTGTTTACGTTTCTCCACAGAGGTGCATTCTGATGATCTGTTAACTAAAAGGGGGAGGGCTGCAAACCAAAAGTGAGGCACTTGCACTGTACGTGTATAACTGAGCACTTGGTATCTTTGCTTCTAACCTGTGGTTACTTTTAGAGAGTTGAAAAAGAGTCTTCAGATATCTTCCACTAGACTCTCTCTATTTCTAATGTCACCGGTTGTAAAAGGATGTAACAGCAAAAAAAAGCTGATTTGGTTTCTCCCCCTTTATTGAACAATTCTTCACTCCAACCGTTTTTGGAGAATGATGGTTTAAAAAAAAGTTATAAGCACTTGATTATTTGTTGTTTAATGTGCACTGCACCTTTTTTCCTTCGCCTTCCTTGGCGTCGTGCGAGCAAAGCGTTGACTCGAGCTTTTCGTCCGTGTCCTAGTAACCTGTTACTGAAAGAGGTCAAGAGATGGGATTGGTGGAAAGAAATGGTCATAATCAGATTTGTTTTCATTTGATTTCTGGCTTAATGGCGGGAAATGAAACCACAAAGCCAAATAGTTTACAGAGGTTCACTTTGCAGCGATAGATGGACCAACTCCTATCACCTTGAGCCGCTCTTTACTTTATTACAACGTAGTGAGCGTGATCCTGAAATGTACCCACCAACAGGAACATGGTGATTTTTCTATTCAGAGCATTTACTCTCTGCATTATGTGAAATCTGTTTGAACGCACACTGATCTCTTTTTCACGATTTCTGTCACACGCAATCATTTGACACCAGAGTTATTCAAAACCAACACCAGCTAATAAACTCACACACACATTATTGCCCGTTTTCATCTTCAGTACTTCTGCACCTGAGAACCGTAGCTCTGTTACGTTTACTCAACTCTTTCTGTTTTTGTCTATTTTTCTTTGTAGTCTGTTCATGTATGTATATGTGTAGTTCGTGTATTCTCTCTAAGCTCCACGTTTGTGACCCGGTACCTCGGTCATTTCATCCGCCGCCTGACGAACAAGCTAGGTTCTGTGAGGGAATAATGTACCGTTCAACCTGAGTGTAGGGATCGGCCTTAAAGTCAAAAATATATAATTGTGCTTCTTCTTTGTCCTTACATTGATGTTTCGGTAAGAAATATTTAGATGATCTCAACAACTGATTTTTCATTGTATT